CGATAGCGAAGTCATATCTGACCAAGACCTGACTATGTAAAAAAGACACAACAAATCGTATGGCTCATCGGACCTGTGTCAGGACCACAAGATATTGCACCACACAGAGCCCGATCAATTAGACACAACAGAACCAGAGTTAGAGATTACCTAAGCAAGTGATGTGTAGATGGAATATCTTGCGCTGTGAATGCCATCATGTACATAGTATATGCTACAGATCTCACAGTATGCATCTTTAAAACCTGACGCTGTAAAGTATGACAGGGTTTTAGAGAACAGACGACGTAAAGTAAAGTGGGACAAGAATAGGAAAACATAATTAAATTCTGCAAGATCTGAACATAAAAAAACTGGCTCATAAACAATATCATGGCTCGGAAACCGACATATTTTGAGTACAGAATTAAATCAACATATAATGAAGCACAAAATGAATCCTTTTCTTGCTCAAATACATAAATCACATTGCCAAGTTGCTGTGCATCTATCCGCCGGAAATTCAAAATCAGCCACGTTATTACCATGGTAACTGTAAATTGATCACGTGATCTTTCTGTTTACATAACACAAAAGAGTAGAGTTTTATTGATGCAGCCTCGGCCACTTTTAGCAAACGTCTATTCAGTGTGTGGTAAATAATCATGAAAGCACAACCTTTATCAACGACGTGTCCAGAGTCAAGCAAATGACATCCTATCAAAGTAAGTAAGAAGAAACTCCGCAGGGGAGCATGTACAGCAGGAGTCTACCAATCGTCAGTAGAAGTAATCTCTCGTCGACAAATGTTTCGGCCCACGAGCTCCTAGACATTTTCAGAGAGTGGGCCCATCTGAGTTCATGAGGCTCAGGGTTGATTTTCTCCTGCTGAACTTATTAACGGATGTTTTAGGACAGAGACAAGACGAATTGGTGATTTTGCAAAAGGTACTGTGAGATACGAAGTCGTTGCGGTAGCATAATTAAAGCAGTCTGCTTACCTGGACGACCAAGTGGCAAGCTTACGTTTGGCTTATCGGACACATGTTAGACTTTGTCGGCGGGTGGCAGAGGGACACTGGCAGACACTTCGGACACGATGGACTTTAAGGGATGAGACATTCTTTTCCACTAGATACCTGGACTAGCTCACCGAGGCCCATCTCCCACGACGTTCCGTTGTGTCCAGAGCCAGCTCGAGGCCCTCTCAGCGGCCTCGCCCAGTTGTTTTAGTGATCGTTTGCGCTCATTTCCTAGTTGTTTAATCACATTGTACATTGAAGTGGAAACGAGACCTCTTGCGCCTACCTCGACGGCGAAGATTCTTACTGTTGTACATATGGCTTACGTCCAATCGCGACTAATACGGCACGGTCAGCTCAATCAGGATGAGCTGACGTTTCTCCGCAGAGTGTAGGACTATGTCAGGTCGCAGGCCAGTCTTCCGGATTGACTCAGGGTACTTTTCATGACCAGGCAGGTCACCCGCCAGTAACCTGTCCCTCGCACAGTCAAGCATCGATGGAGCGTATGCGACTTTGTTAAATTTCCCTTTATAAATCTGCCCAGCTTTAAGGAAGCGCACGGGGACGACGGTAAGACTGGCCCTAGCATTGGCCATAATCCTAGCTTGGTCCACAACGGCAAATAACTCTTTCCGCATCTTGTTGTGGCGCTAATGTACCTGCCCTGGCCTAGTGCTTTTCTGCACGCGGACAATACGTGCTCGAGCGTCTGTTTAGCTCTACATAGCGGGCATGTCGGGTCGTTAGTCGCACTCCACTTTACCATGTTAACATCGGACGAAGAATTAGGTTCTCTCTTTTTTGGCTACCCTTGGTGTAGGTTCTCCGATTCAATGCTTTCAAGCTTATTTACCATAGACTGAATAGACGCTTGCGCAAAACACAAACGCTGCAACTCCAGAGGTCTCCGTAAATTTCACGCATCTTTGAAACGAACCCACGACTTTCAGGGGAGACTCCTTCACCGCGGAGATCCCGCAATTGTGTACAAAATACAAGGCAAATACTGCATGACAAGAAAAGACGACACATACCTGTATCGTATCCAAACAGTAGACCTCCAATAGTGGCAAAACAAGCCAGGTAATAAACAAAGACAGGTGTCTTTTCTTCTGCTGCATTGCTATCGTCACCACCTCCATCGCCGGCCTTCTTCTTGTCGCTGCCGTAGCCGTTGAGTTCCATGTCTGAAGGAGAAAACAAACGACGTCTTTCGTCGTCAGGCTGACCTTTGGCTGAGCTGTGTTTTGTCTGGCGTCCTAACTCCGAGGATTTGTTTTGTGGTTCAGGTGATTTGTCTTGTTGATTAGGAGAATACTGACTTGGAGGTATTGCTTTACTGCGAGAAGATTTTAAACTATTGCCTGCCTGAAAGATGATATACTCCAAGAGATGCTTCTGGTTTCTCAGTATTTGGTATGTGACTTTCTTGATGTTCACTGTAACTGTCTGAAAGTATCAAATTCTGAAGAGACTTCTGTTTGATGAGACCTGGAGTGGCTTGTTTGTGTTCTTCTTTGAGAGCTCTGCTGCTGTTTAAAATTACCTGTATCGTTGTTTCTGTAAACATCGGTATCGCTAGGACTAGTAGTCGCAGTCTGGTTGGCACTTAGTAAGTCGTGGTTAATTGAATGATCTTCGCTGTGTGAGCCCGAAGTGTTGGACAAGTCACCTGATGGTACTGCAACAGGTGAAGGTGCCGCTAAATCTAAAGAAGAAGATGATTGTGTAACTGCCGGTGGATCATCTTGTGGCGATAATGCTGGAAGGTCCGGTAACCCTTGTTGCAGTTCCTTTACCTTCTTGGGAGATGCCTGTGGTTGATCTGTATACAACAGAAAAAAAAGGTTTATACTACAGACAGTGACAAATTTCCAATTAATTTGCTTGTATAAATATTGAGAAGACGTCACCAGAAAGTGTTGAGATGTGTGCCGTCTACATAACGAAGTTTGCCTAAGGTGTAGCCAACGATGTGGTGATTACGTTAAGAGAACCAATCTCTTACACGGTGCGAATCTCGTAATCTCTCAGAAGACCTTGAGAGCAGGTTTTCTTTAAATAAACCGTCCGCCGCGGAAACTGAACTCTAATACTTGACGTGAATACACTTGTTAAACGCATTCCCTAACCTCTCAGCCATACAGCCACACATTAAAAAGTGTATCTACTTATTACACAACACACAAATTCAAAGCTAAAACAAGAAAATCGTCAAGTGGGCTTGACTGAGACATTCATATATGTTTTCATAACCAGAAACGAAAGGTTAGAGTGACGATGAAACCGCCCTCGAAAAACACACAGTTTGAACCAGTTGCTGTTTTACATGGTGGATATAGAGTTTGAACCAGTTGCTGTTTTAAATTTGAACATTTGCTTTTTTTACAGAGCGGGGTTTCAACCAGTTGGGGGTGGATATAGAGTTTGAACCATTTGCTATTTTACAGATCGGATAGAAAGTTTCAACCAGTTGCTGTTTTACAGGGTGGATATTGAGTTTGAACCAGTTGCTATTTTTAAGGGTGGATATAGAATTTGAAACATTTGCTATTTTACAGAGCGGATAGAAAGTTTGAACTAGTTGCTGTTTTACAGAGTAGATATAGAATTTGAACCAATTGCTGTTTTACAGAGTGGATTTAGAGTTTGAACCAGTTGCTTTTTTACAGAGTAGATATAGAATTTGAACCACTTGCTTTTTTTTGCAGAGTGGATATATTTTGAACCATTTGCTGTTTTGTAGCACAGCTCTCTTCTTCGATGCGTACGTTGAGGTCACACCCAGGTTCGTCTTTAGGTTTGACAGGAGGAGTCCATTGGACGATTATAGACGATGAGAAAGATGGTCGTGTCGATAGTGGTGGTGATGATGATGATGTCTTTCTAGCTGCATGTTTCTCACGTGACTCTGATGCTGGTATAATAAAATGTCTTAAAACAGCTATTCTTGTCTGTACTGTCTTTTTTGTGATACTTCAGCAATGTCACAAACGACATCGATTACATTTTAAAAGGCGCTGTGTTCTCCCTATGGCTACAAACCCGTAGGTTCGCGTTGTATTCTTTATCTCTAGTTACTTTGTCTCTAGTGCCTGTAACTGCCACCTGGCTTCTAGTGCTGTTTGGTACTAACGGCTTGAACTTCGACTCTAACATCTCAGTAGTGTTCCTAACTAATGTGTCGCTGTTAACCATGGATCCAGGTATCTTGTGTTGTCTCTGTTGTCTCGTTTCATGTCTGCTCTCTAGTGACTGTCTTTGAGGCTCGAGGTGACTGGCTCCTCTCCTTCTAGCGTTGAGTTGGCATCTCCAAAACTGCGAGGATCGTTGAAACTAGTTGCTCGTCCTCTGATTCTCAACGAGTGAAGGCATTCTCTGAGTTCAGCTGACATATCTACGACGGAAGGCTTCTTTTAGGGTATATATGACTGGTCCCTTCTCTCTTGAGTCTTGTGTACTGAAGAATATACCCTAGGGGTTTCTCACGCATTATTTATACTTAGATGCTGGAATGCTAGTACGTAACCACAATATTTACTATGAGCCTTCTCATGTGGGATTTTCTAATAATATCCCAATTGCATCAGGTTTCGTCATCCTATTCTGCGCAAATATAGTAGTTAAATTGACAGCTGACGTCATAGGGACTCCTAAAAAAAAAAAAAAGTGCTAGTACGTTCTCTTTGAAAGGGCACGTCAACAATTACGTCAAAAACTTTTTAAAAAATACCATTGCCAAGACTTGTTGACTTTCTTCTAATTAAGTACTACGCAAAATTCTATCTCCTGACAAACAAGTGATGACGTCAATATTTAGTTTTGGCGGGAAAAATTGTTGATCTCGGTACATCCTAGCTTTGTGCCTCTTAACAAACAAGATATGACCTTACTCTGTTACAGTTTTACAGACTGGATATAGTTTTAACCAGTTGCTGTATTACAGAGCGAAGGGTGATGTATTTCTGTGGAGAACATTGACCGGTTATGAATCGTGGTGCTGCTACATTGAAACAGGTAACAAAACAGCCAACATGCTATGGAAAGGTCCCGGATCATCAACACATGCAAATTCAAGTCAGATGTTTTATTTCCTTCAAGTTGTTCTTTGCCGAAGACAGCAACACTGAGATGGTCGTCTGAATGCTTACAGCGACTGTTTCTGACGATCATACTTGCTTCCTGACAATTGACATTTTTTTGTTTTTGTTTTCAATTTGACCACTTCTTCTTAAAGTCCATGCCGTGTGGCGTTGGTAATCATGTATATCCACAACTTTCTGTCTCGTGTACTTTCAATCAACTCTGACACAGATGATCCTCCATACCCTGATGTCAGACCGTCTAGCATCTTTCTCTCAGTCTCCCTCTGCCTCTCATCCCCTCCAACTTTCCTACAGTCACGATGTACTCCAGTTTTCCCCTTCTCATCACATGACCACAGAATGCAGACTTTCTTTTTCTGTTGTGGACAATCAGTTCTCTTCGACCACACCTGCTAGTAAATCAGTTTCGCTATTGCAATAGTTAATGTGTCAAGTTTCGTTTGATCATGACCCGTATATAAACAATACCGTAAGGAACGCTTGTAGGCAGGCAAGAAACAGGTATACCACTATACGAGCATGAGACTCATTGACTACCAAGCAACTCGTCATGCGTTTGATGGGTTCTACTAACATTATTTATCGTATAACACAACAAGTCGTTAGACAAGGTCCCTCTGTTCCAGTTGTTACTTTAACTTCTTCTTTTTCACAATATAACTAATTCTGACCCATGCATTTATTTTGTAAAGTAAACGCAGAATGGGAGAGAAGAAGTAAAGTAAAGTAAAGTAAACATTCCTTCTCACGCCTTTAGGCGCATCGGACATATGGGAAGAGCGCCCATATTTTTACAGACCATCGGCACTAGGTGGGTAATGTGGTCTGCATTACGCCGGCCGTCTCTACTTCCTCATGACAGCCATACTGGTACCCATTTTAGGTTGAGTCGACCTGTGACAACCCATACCACGATAAAAATCCACGCAGACAGCAGTGGTATTCGATCGCGGTACGTGGAATTACGAGTCGGACTCGCAACGCCTAAGCCACGGACGCCGCATTTGCTTGTTTCTGAAAGAGTTAATTGATGTACGAACAGCTGTCTGAGAGAATTTACAACCAGGACGTGAGGTTTTTCCATTAAATACAACCTTTATTTGGGGACATGCCGGTATTTTCACTATAATGTAGATTTATGTTTAGGTTTAAACAACGGATCAACATCATGGCACAAGGTTAGGAACCCATAAATGCTTCATTGCGAGTCCGACTCGTAAGCCAGCATACCGCGATCGAAACCCACTGCAGGCTGCGTGGATTTTTGTCGTGGTATGGGACGTCGCAGGTCGACCCAGCCTAAAATGGGTACCAGGATGGGCTGTCCTGGGAAAGTAAAGACAGCCGGCGTAATGCTGACCACATTACCCACAGAGTGCTGATGGTCTGTAAAAATATGGGACGCTCTGCCCATATGCCCTATGCGCCGAAAGGCGTGAAAAGGGAACTTTACTTTACTTTTTTAAATGCTTCATTCTACTTCTAACTCAAGTCAGAGTCCGACTAATCTCAGCGAAGTGCACGAACTCCATAGCACCAGCGAGGATCATGAAATACTTAGGGTAAATTTTTAACTCCAATTTGGTATGCCCAAGCAGCATAATTAGGTTACTTTTTTCTATTTCCAACAACACTTATTTATAATCCAGTTTCGTCCTTTTTAGGATGAAATTGTTTGTTATTTGAAGCCCCATTCTGGCTTTTTGCAGGGGCCGCAATATAGCCCGGCCATAAATATGGCCAATTGTCTGAACGCGGTTTCTGGGACCTCTCCACGGTGATCCTCACCCACATGGTGGCACTTTGTGTCATCGGGTGTTTATCGCTTGTGTGATGTCCTGGTGGGGTAGAAAGTCAGTCTGTCAGTCAGTCAGTCATTTCCAACTGCCAAGGGATTTTTTGACGCCCACAACAATACACATGGGCGACTGATCTTACAACACAGAGACCGGGGCAAATTATTAGAAGCCCACGTGAGAGAATCCCAGCCTTCACCGGGGCCTGAACCCGGGACCTCCAGAACTCGAGGCGGACGCCATGCCCCGAGACCACGCAGCTCCTTAATTTTAGTTTACCCTA